AAGGATCAATAAGTGGCTGGTGGTCCCGCATCAACACTTTGCACTTTGAAAGTGCGAAGCGCATACCAAATAATGGGATCACTCTAGACAGGCTATTCGGAGTTTACTGTGACACGGCAACATCGTCAAAAAGCATGACGATATCGTCTGCATAACCATAAACTAGCCTTTCACCAGGCTGCACCTCGACGTATACATCGTGATATCCCGTAATGAAACGCTGCACGATGGATTCCACGACAAAATTGAACAAAAACAGGGAAATCAGACAAACCTGACGAAGGACGCTTATTATCGGAAAGGCATCCTACAAATCACCGTAGACCCTGTCACGGCCTGTTGTGTTCGAGTATAGAGCACGTAGGAAGTTCACATATTTCGTGGGAACACCTTTCCGTTTAAGTATCTCGAACAGAATGCATCGATCGACTGAATCGAACGCACTCCTGAAATCGAGGAACACAGCTATTGTGAGTCTGCGGTATGTGGCGCAGCTATAGCACTTGCCGCGGAGTGAATATATAGTCTATACAGACACGTCCTGGGCAGAAACCGGCCTGCTCTTTCCTAATTCGTGGTTCCCGTTCCACAATGAGGCGACGAATGAGAATTAAGGTCAGTAATTTTGTCCCTGTGGTTAGCACACTTGGTGCAACGTCCCTTCTTGTTTATTGGCACTATATTACTGGTAAGTAGCATGATTTTAGTTGTCATTTTGTTAAGGTTTTCATCCCAGTAGTTCACAAGCTACATAGCAGAGCCTAATCCGGAAAACCACCAGACGCGATTCGCCCTATTGGGGATCGTCAGTGGTGCGTGTTCCCTCGGTCCTCTAAGGAGGATGGAACCCATGACCGCTAGAGGCAGATGCCAACAAGCCAGCAGCTTAAGCTACTGAGCCATGGGGGACGTTGGCTGGGCTACATAATTTGCAAACTAACTGGGATATAGCACCACCACCCCATTAGGGGACCGAGGGAATGCGCACCACTGACGAGTCCCAATAGGGCGAAACGCGTCCGGTACTTTTCCGGACTAGGCTCTGCTATGTAGCTTGTGAACTACTGGGATGAAAACCTTAACAAAAGGACAACTGAAATCGTACTACTTACCGGTAATATAAAATAAGTAGCCTCTCCTAGTTTGAAAATGCTATGGGTATGGCGTCTAGTGAGAGGACGTCATCACTTCGCAGGCTAACCACTGTCAGTGACAGTGGAAGATAAGTGGTGCTATATCCCAGTTAGTTTGCAACTTATGTAGCCCAGCCAACGTCCCCCATGGCTCAGTGGCTAAAGCTGCTGGCTAATTGGCATCTGCCTCTAGTGGTCATGGGTTCGATCCTCCTTAGAAAACTGAGGGAATGCGCACCATTGACGAGCCCCAATAGGGCGAAACGCGTATGGTACTTTTCCGGAGTAGGCTCTGCTATGTAGCTTGTGAACTAATGGGATGAAAACCTTAACAAAATATAAGTGAATATATGGTCTATACAGCCACGTCCTGGGCGGAAACCGGCCTGCTCTTCCCTAATCCGAGATTCCCGTTCCGCAGTTAGGCGATGAACGATAATCGAGGACAATAATTTTGTCACAACTGGCGTTAGGCTAATTCCCCTGTGGTTAGAACAGTTTGTGCGACTGCCCTTCTTGTATGTTGCCACTATAATCGATTCGCTCCAATTAGCCGGGACACTCCCTTCCAGATAAGCTCGAATAGGGAGGTCAGTGCTTTGCAGAGCAACGCATCTTCTTCCTTAAATAGTGCAGGTGTGAGGGAATCCGGGCCAGCGACACGAAAACGATTGAGGGTTGTGATCGCGTTTCGGACCTCAGCCTCTGACGGAGGCTCTAAACTAACCATCCATGGCTCGTCCTGTATCATCTGAGTAGGAAGAGGTCCGGGAGCAGGGGGCCAGCTGAACTGATCTTGAGAGTGTTCGGCCCAACCAGCCATCTGGCGTTCCTCATTGTGTCAGTGCACCCGCGCCGTCTCGAATTGTCTCACTGGCACCTGGTTTCATGGGACCAGTAGTGCGGATCAGCTGAAAGAGCTTGCGGTAATTGTCTACTGTTCCCGCCTCCTCTATTTCTTGACCCCAACTGGTCCACCAAGCTTCCTTGTCAGCATGCAGGTTCTGCTTTAGTTCCCTCCTAATAGTCCGTCTGGTCACATTGTGTTCAGACCCACCCGTGAGGTTTCTTCTGGATACCAACAGCTTCATCGACTTCTCGAATATCTAGTGACTGGCGCGGTGACGATTGACAGTGTCACAAGCAGACGCTCCTTTGTCATGCATGGCGGCCGAGATCGTATTCCATTGAAGCTCGGTGTCATTGAGACAAGACAGCGAAAGTTCGGTCACCGTGCGTCTTGATAAGCATACTGACCGAGGGCTGAGACAAGTTATCAGTTGCCAATCGAGGTAGTCGCTTGGTATGCCTCCCAGTAAAGTCCATTCGAAAACGACAGCAGAACAAGGCATGATCAGACTCGACGCAGGTATTCCAGTACGAGCGGCAATCCAGGATGGAACCACGCCACCTGTAGCCAATGGCAATGTGATCTATTTGGATCCATCGATGGCCAGCTACAGGAGGACGCCAAGTGGCACTTCGGCGCCCACTGTTTCGAAAAAGTGTTACTAAGAAACAACTGGTGCTTCGCACACAGTCGAAGCAGACACTCGCGATTGTCAGTCCGTTCGGAGTTAAGCCCATAATTAACGCCCAGCTGAGCTTCTGAAGAACTCAGACGCCCTAGTTGTGCGCTCATATCCCCTGCAAGTACTATGACATATGAAGAAATAGCATGGCGTAGTAGCGCGGTTAGTTCATGATAGAATGCGCCCTTGACAGCACTAGAACTGCAGTCGGTGGAAGCATAAGCAGAAATCGCAAAAATACAGCGTTTTGTACTACTTCGTGAATCAACCTTACTTGATGTCCTCAAACGGACTACACACAAACGGCTGTGCAGCGGAATACAATCAACCAACGAAGGCTCAGCCTTGGGAGCTGAGAATGATGCCTACCCCAGCTTTAATCGTGAGTGCTGCATCAGCGTCTCCGGATGCGTGCAACCAATAGCGAGATGACAAGCCGGGCGTAGTTAATTCAGTAACCCCATTAGGGTCATTTATTCTAGCTTCGGACACAAGGTACGTCAATACCCAGTGTGCCCAACGTACGTGCAAGTGCAGCCTGTTGACCTATTTGTCTTAGAATGCGAACGTTGAATGCCGCCAGGGGAACGGGACAACGTGGCCTTATAGGGGACTTTTGCCGATAGGCGTCCATTGGGTGTTGCGGGAAGGTGGCTGCAGATGCTGTGACTCCAGTGGCACTTCGGTTGCTGTCAATTAAGCTGGGAATTACAGAAGGAAGTTTATTAATGGAAGTCGAAATGGGAGTAAGAGAAACAGGTGGAAAATAAAGGAGGCGCCAGCAGTAGCATGTTTTCGCTTATCCGCCCTGCTGCATGCAACAGATAAGGCGACCATAGATAAACTGCGGCACACCCGATGCAGGAAGTAGAGTTTGAGGAAACTGTTATGGTTGTATTTGGGCTGAGATACTGCCAGGGCTCCCAGACCTAGACAGAACGATTAGGGTCCTATACCAAAGTCTTTGGCTCAAAAGCATGTCCGCAAAGCAGCGAGGTGACAATTATTAAGTTTTACAGAAATGGACACCATTCTACATCAAATCCCCAACCAGAAGGATTAGGAGATTAGGTTAAACTGACCTCTAACCATTGACGAACCTGGTAGGAGTAGCGCGCAAGGGACCCGGAGGCACCACCCAGTTTAGCTCGATAGGTCAAGGAGGTACGCAAACCGTCGCACCACGTTAAGGTCCAGCCTCATTGCGACGATCGGACGGAAACCGGACAGTCAAAATAAAAATACAATTTTCCACCGATCCCCAATCCTATTGATTGTTGCCTCCTAGCGATTGTTCAGTCAGAATACAATATTGAAGGAGTCTACGGAATCCTTTGGTATTACCCCAAAACACCATTTTGGGGGTAGGAAACATGTATTGTGCAGGAGCTACCTGAACGGAATAAAAATGAAGCAATGTGATAAACAATGATAGGGACGGTATTTCATCTGCGTAGGCTTTTTTTCTCTGATTTTAAAGTCCTCGTTTCCAGCACACCGATTTCATTCCTGTTGTGTTTTCCGCTGATAGTACGGATAACCGATGCAGTCACTCTGGTCACAATACAGCCACTTTCCAAATCAGAAGACAAAGGCCTCTGGTGGAAACTTGTGTGGAACACTCGGGAGACAGAATGTATCGCCAAAATGTTGGGTCGAAATAAATACTTCATAAGAGAAAAGATCTAATTGAAAGTTCCTGAGTATAGCAACCACTAGATGCGCAAAAACTCATTGGTTGGCTGAGCTTACTGGAGGGCTTCATTCTGATGGTAAAACGATGCCATTGGCTTACTCCCATTGGTTAGCCAATCGGCTACAGGTGGCATACAACCAATCTTCTCCGGGCTGCTTCAGATAGAGAGAGAGCTAGCTTCGATGGCTGCAATGGACAGGCTCCGGTAACTCCGATATCGGAGAAAAGTCGGACACTCATAAAACTCGTAGAACTTACTCATACTCATAGTCATCTACTTACAACCTCTTTTGTTATACGTTGCCGCGTATTTCTGGCCGCTTAGGTAGAACTCCGTACAACTGTTAACGGTGTCGTGTTTTTGGTTTGCCACACATCAATTTCCAACCGAAAGCGGACGGAAATACGACAGTTAACCGACACGCGGTGCTCTCATGGCCATGATGGGATAATAAATAATTCAGTCCGCATTGAAACAAAACGGCGAGTATACCAAACGTAGATCTGAAATAGTCACTTCGCGGAAATCGTTAGTACACAACAATGTAGCTTGCATTGAACCCTATGAAACAATAACAAGTGATACAAATCTTTCAAAAGTCATCAGAAAGCTATGAAAACATATATTAACCAGCTCACCAAAGTTTCCCACGGGTTCTAGAAGCAACAGATCACCCACAAACAGATGATAGTACCCACTGAGGAGAGGATCCAGAAGCACCGCTTTCGATCTTTCTGATAGCAGCAAAGATTGAGAGGGTGAAACGGAAAGCCACTGACTGTCATCAGAAAAACTTGGCAGCACCATCGTGGGAGGATGCGGTTGACTGGGCAGTGCAGTGCAAGTTTGCTTAACTGATCCCGGTGATCGGAAAAAAGTGAATGCAGATGTACAACGACCGGTGTGAGCCGTGCACCAGAGGTTTTGCTGGTCAACAAGTAACCCTGAAAAACAAATTGTGCGGAAACGAGCGACGCAGTGATGATAGGAGCGATAAAGGTGGAGGCAACTCTATGTAAGGTCAGCCAAGTAGGTCAGATCACGTACCACGGACGATAGAAGCTTTCGCCTAATTAGCGTCCTGTTTCTTGTGACGAGAAGTGAAAAACAGCCCCCGGCACTTCAACGTCGGATTGACTTCTTGCTTCTGCAAAGAAATAACGCAAGAACAAGAGCAACCGTTGTATTTTCATGTGTCAGCATCAGAAAACACTACATAGACCAGTCGAATTACAATATCTCTAAAAAAAGGTCAGACCAACATTTATATAAGCCTTTTTTGAAGTCTTCTACAGTCCCTCATTCCACTAAATCAGAAGGAAGTTTATTCCAGATGTTAACTACTCGGTTTGTAAAAAACTTCATCCCGATGCCAAACGAGCCCTAGGTTGTTCGAGTTTCAGGCGATGCCCGCGCAGGTGGTCCGACGTAGCTAACTCAAACAGATGGGCAGGATTGATACCACTGAGGCCCTTAATGATCTTAAACACCTCTAACAAATCGCCTTTCAATCTACGCCGATCGAAGGAAAATAATCCTAAGCTACCTAGACGATCTTCGTACGACTTCCTTCGTTGATCTTCAACCATTCTGGTCGCTAGCTTCTGAATCTTCTCTATACACATAGCATCACTACGGACATACGGTGCCCAAGCCTGAACCTAGTATTCCAGATCTGGCCTAACCACTGCTTTAAACAACGGCGAGAATACTTCTGCCCTCCTGAGGCGAAACAACATTTGTCACGCTTTATTGCCAGCATGAGGACACTGTGCCGAAGGCTTAAAACTGTCCACTTTGAGGACACCTAAATCGCGGGTTTCATCAGTACACAGGAGATTGCACTCCAACCCCGCTACCACTATTGGCCAATAACTGACACGTATTAGTATTTGAAGGCAAATCCCAATAGCTCGACCAATTCACCAGTGATGACGCCTTTAGCCACTGTTGCGCGAAGATATAACAGGGGTCTTCAAGAAAAGAAGCCAGGTCGTTTATAAACATAAGAAACAATAATGGACCCAGTACCGAACCTTGAGGGACACCGCAGTAGGCAAGTCCCACACTAGAAGTTGCTTCCCCAATCCTGACTCTAAATGTTCTTTCAGGTAAAAGCTGAGAAGCCAAAGTAATAGTTGAGGGTGCAATCCAAACCATGTCAACTTCTCAAGTATGAATCACTGATTCACTAAGTCGAAGGCCTTATGAAGTTAAAAAGTTTATTGATATCTAACAATCAAGACTTCGGGTAATCTCATCTAAAAACAATAAATGAGAAAGACAAGACTAATTTTGAAGAAAGCCGTGCTTTCATTAGATTGTACACAGTCAAGTGCTCACAGACCATTTATCACGAGCTTTTCCAAGCACTTCAGCATGATGCTGGTTAAACTGACCAATAGCTAAGAGGCGCCGATATAGAACCCCCTTGTGGATGGCAACAATAGTCACCCAGCTCCAATCACGTGGTAGCCTGCCTTCCTAAAGCGACAGGTTTAATACTTAGCGAAAAGAGACAAAGATATCAACCAGCGGCTTGACTATAGCTGAATGTACAAGGTCAAGACCAGCTGATTTATATGGGTTCAAGCTAACCGAAACTATGAAGAACTCAGCGCCTCATAACCACTAATATTCAGCCGAGGGTGAGCTAAGGTGTCACAATACAAAGATTTAAAATACAAAAAGTACAGTAAAAAAATTCAAAAGCAAGTACAATCATGTTAAATATCATGCTATGCATTTCGCCTGATAAGGCGTGCCTCGATACTATCGAGGATAAACTATTTATTTTATTTATTTAAGAGAAGGAGATGGACAAAGAAACTCACAACACAAAAGCCGTTAGGACCAGCTCTTCGCCATGTCAGTAAGTGTGTTCAAGCAAACGTTTTCATCGTCCTCAGGACCCCAGCCAGAAGGTCGGGATGCACCAACCGACGCCAACTTCGAGGTGAGGGTTTTCGTTTCTCTCCACCAAGTCATAACTTGGCCTCCCTTCCTCCTTTTCCAACCGCACCCCCGGAGCGCAAACAGTGCCCATCCAGGGAGTCGGTGTGCTAGCATGCGCAACACGTGACCCAGCCTTCGGAGCATGGTGCGTGGTATAATAGTGTGAGCGGTTCACTCACTCTTTCAGCACCAAAAACGCGGCGTCGAAAACGCTCAGAGTTCACGCGTTGCTCTCACCAGACATGAGCTAAGCTGCGAAGGCAGCGATGGTCGAAGATGACGAGCCTTTTTATGTCTGTCTACCTAATAGACAAGGTTACACAACCACATAAGAGGGTTGAACGGACGGTTGCATTATAATCTCTGCCCTTCAGGGCGACAGTGATGTCGCGTCTGCGTCACAAGTACCGCAGATTGGCAATAGCATCTCGAGATTTAGCTAAACGATTCGTAACCTCAGATTCGATCCCAAAGGCGCAACTACAGCTGATCAGGTACTTGAGTTCCTGAACGACTTCTAGCTGACCACCACCAAGTGTCAGCGCAGGGGTGGGTTCCTGCCAACCTTGGAAAGTACTTTGCTTTTCGATGGAGCAAAGCATAGCCCAAAACGATTCACAGTCAGTGCTAATCGGTCCAGTGCTGCTTGGCAAGTTTGGGAGTTGCCACAGATTAGGGCAATATCGTCCGCATACCTCAAGTCAATAACTCGCTCACCATGAAGTAGCGCCACACCTTTTACATCGTGTCTAGCGAACGCTGTTTCCAGGACTTCGTCAATAGCAAAGGTAAAGAGGAAAGGTAAGAGCGAGCAACCTTGTCTCATACCGCTGGAGATATTAAAGGGCACGACAGTTTGCCATAAACCCTCACTTAGCCCGAACTCTGCGCGTACAGCGCTTTGATAATGCTTACGTATATATCACGCATGCCTTTTCACAGCAGACAGTCGCAAAGGGCACATCCATCCACGGAATCGAAGGCACCTTTTATGTTGAGAAACACGAAAACGGTGAGTCGCCAATAAACATATCGGCGCTCCTACAATCGACGCAAAGTGAAGCTGTGGTCGATGAAGCCCTGACCTAGACGAAACCTGACTTGCTCTTCATATATCTGGCTTTCACGAGTGCCACTGTCTGTGAAAAACGCCGGACGCAAGCAATTTAGAGGCAGAGAGCAGATTGATCCTGCGATGATTGCCGCATTCCGAACGGGAGGCTTCTTTAAAATGTGCGACTATGACGAAGCGGCTCCAGTCAGTGTGGACAGATTCCTGCTCCCAAAGTTTCACTAGCAACTTGTGCAAATCGTCTACAAGAGCGGGTCCATCGAAGCTGAAGAAGGCTGGGGAAATGCTACCCGCTCCTGCGGTCTTATGCAATGTCAACAATCTGATCTCACGTTCGACTTCTGTGCCTGAGGATGCAAATCAGAGCCTAAAAGCGATAGATTTGTTGAGCAGAAATCAACAAGTTACGCACGACTCTCGGACAAAGCGCGCTGCGCAGACAGCAACTGACGCCACCCACTCAATCATGCTTTATCATAGTGCATGATTTACCAGAGCTGTGCACCGCTGAGGCAATCTTACAACAGCGACAATAGCATGACTGTAACCAATGGCGGTCCCTTCAGCAGACACTAACTATTGTCAACGTAATCACGACGGACGTTCCTCGCTTACCTCGTCAAGCAAGTTATACGGGAGAAGCCCACCGTCTCCTCAAACTTCCCACCGCTAGCGAGGCAACCGATGACCTCACCATCTGGTATGCTATTAAAGACAACGACCACCAGATATCCATCTGCGTTTCAAGGTCACGCGGTGCCGAGACGCAGTTTCCCACAGATCCTTAACAGCAGTAGCCCCTTTGGTACCGACACATCATGGCCCAAACCGTCCCCAGGCGGTCTATCACCGGACCAACTGCCTCGCTGCCTGGAGTAATCGGCTCACTTACACATTCCAAGCTTGCGTTCCGACGAACCACACGCCGCTACCCATCTGTGCCCCGACGACCCACACCATGCTTCCCCAAGTACCAAGCTTCGCGGCTCGACCCCTCTAAACCAAAAAACGGTGCACTGCCGGTCATCCGTTGATCGGCAGCACTCTAACTACTTCCGCACTCACTACTCAAACGAGCCTCGCCTGTGTCTACACGAACGCACAGGGCCTCATACCTAAACTTCCGGAACTCCAATCCCGACATCGTACAAGACCATCACCAGCATCATCATTATAGACGTTAGCTAGAGGTGGGAAGCGCCTCAGCTACTGTGCCGCCAGCTGACCTAATAGGCACAACGGAAAGATGGCTCTCCGACGACATAACTTACGATGAAAGCCAATTTCCACACATGTCAGTTCTCCGCTCTGACCGCGCAAACCCAGTTGGCGGTGTCGCACTGTACCACACGTCCCACAGTTGCAGCATTTTAACAAACACTGCTCTCCAGTCTCCAGACACCATGTGGTGCGAGATCGCACTAACCGCCAAACACTCCTACTGTCTCTTGGTATCATTTACCACCCCACTAACAACTCCCCAGAAGGATGCACGACTACTGCACGACGCCTACCTTATGTTATCACACAAACACACTTGCTTATCATGGGAGATTTCAACCTGCCCCGCCTATTCCATTCTGTTCAGTCGACTGACTCCTTTGCATCAGGCCTTCACGCGGCCCCGTTGTACAACTACACCTATCAGCCGACCAGATTCCGATCCAACAACTAACCGTCCACGCTAGATCTCATCCACAGTAACGAAGAACTGATGGTTGAGCACGTCGAGCATGAGGCCCCTCTTGGGCTCAGCGACCACTGCGACCTCCGTTTCGGTTTTGTATGCTCCGCCGATAAACCCGTCAGCACGCAAACTTGTAAACGCTGGATTGGTTTACGGAAATTTGAATGTTTTTATTTCCGCTAACAACTGGTCACCTGAATCCCAATCGAGCGACGACAGAGTGTGGTCAATCTTTTCCTTACCCTACGTGAACTCTGCTCCACCACCATGATTTGAAAACAAGTTTCTATAGAGAAAAGACGCCCAGCACTCATACGAAGTCGTACACGGAAGTGGATTGCCTCCAGGGACAGCGCATGGAGAAACTATCGCGTTCGAGTCGAAGTGATGAAGCATGACGGCGGAAGCGAGTGCTTCTTTGCTAGCTTCGAACACTGT